GAAAGAGGAAGAGAGAGACAGGCACCGCCAACAGGGTCTTCATGCCATGATCCACCCCCAGCTTCAGCCAGCCTCACAGGCACACACATGGTTGCCAGATGTGTACAGATGCTACAGGACACCACCTGGGGACCTTCCCATGGTCTGGTCAAGTTATCACTGTGCTGCCATCTGGCCTGAGAGGGAAGGTGTTTTTAATGATCACACTGGCAGTTTTAATGAAATACTGCTGTCAAAACAGTACAAGAAAGTTTGCTGACCGTTATTCTCTTTCTGTTCGCTCTGTCTCTATCATTTTTAATTACCAGAAAGCACATATACTTACCAGAGAGAGAGAGACAGAAACAGAGAGAGAGAGGGAGAGAGCATCCCCACTGGGGTGTATTCACACCCCAATTTCTTCTCCATTTCTACATCCTGTCAGGATTTGGGGCAGGCATGTACATGTGCCTGGTGTATTTTCCAAGCTGCTGCAGTTGGAACTCAAACAATGGCTGGTCATATGGGATCTAGGTCACTTAACCACTAGACCACTGAGCAGGGCGGCCTGACTTTTCTTCTTCTTCTTTTTTTTTTTTTTTTTTTTTTAAGAATAATTTTACTGGCACCAGAAGTTGACATAATGGCTATATTGTTGGACTCCCATATAGTCAACTGTGGTTCAAGTCCTGGACCCAGTGGCTTAAATGCACTGGGCGTGTGTACATGTGTGTGTGTGCGCGCGCCCAAGATCCTGAGAGGAAAACGAAAGAGAAGGGATTGCGACATGCCCATCCCCCTTGGGTCAGGGGGTGATTTCTCGCTTTCTGTCTCTCTGGGCAAAAAATTCTAAAAAAAAAAAAAGAATTATTTTATTTAACTTTATTTTAATTTGACCAGAGAAGGACAGAGCATGAAAGAGAGAGAGAAAGTGAGAAAGCAAGCCACCAGGTCTGGAACTTGAACCAGCTGGCCATGTGGGAGTCTAGCGCCCTTAGCCAACACACCACCTGCTAACCCCACTGACCTTTATTCTTAAGCAAAGTATATACTATACTTACTTTCACATTACACTTGCTTTTAGCTATAGTAAAGATAAACTAGAGCTAAATGTTCAAATAGTTTTAATACAATTTTACCACTTTTTGTTTTAATAGTCCATTTGAATGTTTGAAAGTAATATGAATCAAATAGATATTTATGATTTGGAATGTATCGATATGATTGACATTGTTATTAATTTTTTCTTATATGTTATCATCAATGGAGAGAACAGAACTATTTTAATGATGTACTGATTACTGTCTTTTCCTAGATGAAAACTTTTCAATTCTTCATAATAAAAGGGGAGTTCTTGGAATGGTCAACAAAGGCTATCACACCAATGGGTCACAATTCTATATCACACTACAAGCAACTCCCTACCTAGATAAAAAATATGTGGCTTTTGGGTATGTACATTGTAGATTTGTATATGTAATATTCACACACATAAAAATGTCATTCAAGAATGTTTGAAAAGCTCAGCTTGGGACCAGCTCCATGGCGCAGTGGTAATGCACACTCAAGAGAAGCCAGAACCTACATGGTGCCCACAGTTCAAATTCCCCCGCCTAGCCCACCTGCAATACTCTGTGTATACACACATGAATGCCCAGGATCCTATGGGCCGGAGGACTTAAGGAAGGGGGACCGCAATGTGACTGGGCCCTGTGGAGGGTCTCTCTCTCTCTCTCTCTTACTCACTCATGTGCATGCATACATTCTGTCATGAATCAAAAAACAGAGAGGAATATTTGGATAAGTAGCATACATAGTCTTTTGGTCATTAAAGATAAGGCTTAAAGGCAAAAGCAACGCAAATGTACACCAACATATTTAGAAGTAAGTACGTACGTAAGAAGCTAGCTGTTTATTAAAACACAGAATTCATTTAGGTACAACCATGATAATGTTCAGTCTGTTTCTCTGTTTATCCATACGTATATCCATCTATTCCTCCATCTGTCTATCTTTGGCTGCAAGTAGATTATTAATTCTTAATTACTATGAATCATGCCTCCATGCTAAAAATAGATATATGGGGAAGTGAGAAAACGAATCCACTTAAGTAATTGTTCATGAATATGATGAAGAGATGGATCAAAAACTATCCAAGTAATTTTCTTGAGCAATTTCACATATGGGAACATCTCAGATAATAGAAATAAGAGGGACCAGCAGTTAGCATAATGGCTATGTCGCTAGACTCCCACGTAGTCGACCACAGTTCACATCCTGGACCCGGTGGCTTAAAACTCACGCTGGGTGCATGTGCCTGCGTGCCCAAGATCCCGAGAGGAGAATGGAGGAGAAGGGATTGCGGCGTGGCCACCCCCCCCTGGGGATGCTTTCTGTCTCTCTGTCTCTCTCTGTCTCTCTGGTGAGCTCACATACCCTATAGCAAAACCTCTCCAAAAAAAAAAAAAAGGAATAAGAATAGTATTAGCAAGAGGCTTACAGTCCTATGAACCTAAAATAAGTGATGGATATGCTTTTCATCACCCCAGTGTTTCATACCTCTCTTTATGAGTGTCTACTTTGCTTCCCTGAAATGATGTAAAGGGTTAGAATTCTTCTGAATAACTATTAGATAATTCCAGTCATTCCAGAGGGATAGTTATTCAGCCCATGAAGAAATCTCATGCCAATGTTCATTTTTTCTTTTTCTCTTTTTTTAGTTGCCAGAGGGTGCAAGTACTCGCCAGAGAGAAAGACAGAGACAAGGAGAGAGAAAGCACCTCCTAATGGAGTGTGATCATGCCACAGTCCCTTCTCCATTTCTCTACCCTGTCAGAACATGGGCCATACATGTATACCTCCCCAGTGTGTTTTTCAGCCATCAGGACTGGGATTCGAACCATGCAGTCAGCTTGTGGGGTCTGGCTCCCTTAACCACTAGGCCATGGAGCCGGCCTGCCAATGTTCTTTTTACCCGTAGTAATTCCCACAGTGTAATACTTTCTGTGATATTTCTAGATTGGAAAAGTAGAAGGTTTATTCTCATCCAAAACATATTTTAAAGAGACAACTATATGTTAGTGGATGAATAACATAAAATACTGAGTTGGCTTCCATTTTCCCGGGTCCTAAATAAACTGTATTCTGGTTTTGGAAATATAGTTCTTAATTCATTTTAAATTCAAATTTACCCTTCCCTTTTCTTGGCTCATTTAAACCTCTTTGTCATCTCGCTGACAATCTCTCCACTCTCCACTCGCGCCTTGGTGATCCTTTGTATCTTGGCTCCAGGTACCTTCTCAAACACAAACATGACTACTTTAGAACTTTTAATGCCTCCCTCACCACTTCACCCCTAGATGCACAGAGCCTAGAGTCTAGAGCGACGCTCCATGTCCTTCACTCTCCGGTCACACATTTTGTGTTCAGCATTTACTTTAGTCTTCCTTACTCATCTAGCCATGAGTTGATTAGGCACCTGCAGTAAGCCTGTCCTGGTGCTCAGCTCTGTGGAAAGAGGGACGGAGCAGGATTTCTCAGATTCCTCAGGGATCTGACAGTAGATTAGGACAAACAGGCCAAAATACCAGCAACTGTCTGGCAGTGAGACGGGCTATGCAAGTTCTATAAAGAGAGATTGGGAATAGAAAAGACACAATAAGAAAACATTGACTCCCTCATAAAGGTGAATGCAGATCCTCACAGGATGGCAGTGAAGTGGAAGAGTGTGTGGGCTTGTTTTGATAATTCCTATTCTCCATGATTCTTCCTCTGGGAGATCTTTTATTTTGTTGTCATTACCACTCTGACCTCAGGGAGGCACTGTGACCCTTTTATTCTGATCCAGTTATGATCTCTCTTTATCCCTTTAATCTCTGAATCCCAGTTGAGGCTGGGCTAAAATCGTTAAACAGATCTTACAGAAAACTGAAGGAGACATGGAAAGGTAATAACACACTAAGCAACTAGATAATCTAATTAAACTAATGAACTATAACTCCTTCAGGAATCCGTTCCTTCCCATCTGTAGGACTGCTTCTTCCCTATCATCTCTTAGCAATTCCAGGTGTATCCGAGCTGGAAACCTAGCCATCGTTAGCAAAGTCCAAAGAGAAAAAGAAATTTCCTCTCCTATCTGAGATAGGCCCTCTTTCTAAGCTTTACTTTCTGGTAAATGAACCTGCCCTTTTCTCAAATAGATGACACTTGGAATGCCCTACCTGCAGGACTTCAGCAACCCACAGAGCATGGCCTTGCTCAGTGGTCTGATAGGGAAATAATATCAAAATATAAGCCTGTGGGAGCTCCATTCACAGGTACCCTGGGGAGAGGGACAGTGGTAAGAGAAATTAATTTTACTTTATGAAATCCTTAAGGTAATAGGGGAATATGGAAAGAGGAGCTGAGTAGTGAAAGTATGGTAGGAATTAGCCAGATAGCATAGCAGTTAAGCCCTGTGCATAAGGAGCTGGATCTCACACGGCTGAGCACAGTTCAAATCCCAGCCCTACTAGCTTGAAAAACATGCTGGGTGCATGTATGTGCATGCTTCAAATTCTGATGGAGAAATGGAGGAAAAAGGATTGTGGCGTGACCTACTGGGAGAGGGGTGCTTTCCCCACTCCACCCCCATTTTCTGGTGAGTGTACATGCCCTTTGGCAGCAAAACACCAAAACAGGCCATGGAGTGGCATGATGGTTAAGATGGCTAGATTCCACATGACCAACTACCATTCAAGTTCCAGACCAGGCAGCTTGAAAATCACTCCAGGCATGTGTGCATGCATGCCCAAAATCCCAAGAGGAGAATTGAGAGGGGATTGAGGCATGGCCATCCCCTGGGGGAGGAGGGGTGATTTCTCACTTTCTCTCTCACTGTCTCTGTCTTCTCTCTCCAGCAAGCGTACACCCTATGACAAAAACCTGGAAGAAAAAAAAAAAGACAAAACAAATCCTCTTCAAAAATGAAATTAGCTAGATAGGGGAAGCCAGAAACCATAATTAGTCAAATCAGTTTTCGGAAGAAGGAAGAGCCCTAATAGAGAAGCCTTAAGGAGTAAGAGAACATCTTATCCAGTCATCTGGTCTGGCTAAATCTTGGTGGTCCAGGAAGAATGAGGGGAGGTGGGTGGGAGGCTGGAGAAGAGGGAGAGCCAGGACCCACAAGTGCATGGGCCTTCCTCAAAGTGATAGGGGGCCATGGGAGAATTTCAAATTGTGAGCAATATGACCAGCTTCTCATTTTGAAAAAATCTTTTTCACAGACAAGAGGAATAAATCTGCAAAGGCTAAAATAGGAGGTAGAGAGACCAGTTGAGAACCTATGGTCATAATGGCCAGAGGTGAAATGCTAACCTCAGGCACAGGCAGAACAGATGAGCACCAGATAAATGGCAAAGCCAAGATGTTTTAGGAATTAAATTCATGGGACTTGGCGACTATATAGATGCTGAGGGTGAGGGCAGGGGAAGAGTCCAGATCAGCACTGTCCAGTAGAACTTTCTGTGCTGATGGAAATATCCTACAGCCTGTATTGCCAAGTACAATGAGTACTGGTCCCATAGAGCCACTGAGCACTGGGAATGCAGCTGGTGCAACTAAAGAACTACGTTTTAACTAAACTCGTGCTAGTGGCTACCCTACTGTGCAGTGCAGGTCTCAAGTAACTGCCAGAATTTGGGGACTGGTGGGTGATTGGTACCATACACCTGGACAGAAAATACAAGGAGGAGGATTTGAGAAAGAAAATCATGAGTTCAGGCTGGACAAATTATATTTCAGATGAGGATACCTATAGTACAGCCAGGAGGTAGACATTCAAGCTAGGTCAGGGCTGGAGATGTAAATTTAGAAGCTGTTTGTAGATTGGTAGTTGAGTTGCAGCCAGACCATAGTGCCATCCCTCCTAGAACAGTCTCTGGGCTTTGCTTATCTTGTTCCTTTCTGCCGCCCTTCAGTCCTATTCAAGGCTAGTTCAGAAACCTCCCTGATTGCTAAAAGTACTTGGCTTTAGGGCCTGCATATAGTGTGGTGGTTAAGGTACTAGACTCCCACATGGCCAACCACAATTTAAGTCCTGGAGGCTTACTTTCTCACTTTCCCCTTTCTCTCTCTCTCCCTGTCTCTCTCTCTGGTCAAATTCCAAAATAATAACAACAAATGTAATTAAATTTTTTTTTAAAGTATCTGACTTCTTCATCCTCTCTGGCACACTGTAAGGGTCTGGGTCTCACTCATTTTTTTAAAAAAATAATTATTTTATTTATTTGACCAGAGATGGACAGATGAAAGAGAAAGGGAAAGTGAAAAAGCAAGCTGCCAGATTTGGGACTTGAACCACAGTCGGCCATATGGGAGTCCAGCACCTTTAACCACCATGCCACCTGCCGACCCCAGGTCCCACTCATCTTATACCTGAACACCTGTCACAGTGGAGATGTCCACTTAAGTGCTTATTCAATACTTAGGAAACCCATTCGTACCCTCTTTGGACAGAGGTGAACCTGTCTATCTTCCACTCTTCTCAGAAAGTACCTTGTGTTGCCCTGTGTCGTGGTTTCTGATTGGGATAGTAAAAATAGAGGCCAGAGGCAAAGAGGTGGCCAGATGGGCACTGGCCATGGCCTGTAATGGCTCACATAAATTGCACTCTTCCCCTTGGTCACTGTCCCAGCCCAAGCATTGGCGGAGTGCACCAGTCCTATGTCTAGACCCGTCTCTCTGCCCTTTGCTGTCCTCTGTAAGTGAAGGAACCATCAAAGGTCTAGCTCTTCTCCTTAGGGAGTTTTAGCTCATGGCTGGTGTCTACAGAGATCCAAACTAGTGTGGCTCTGAGCTTTTGTTCGTGCACTCAGCGGATGTTGGTTAGGTACCTAGTTCTGAGCACTGAGCAAAACTAGAGCCCTATCCCCATGGGAGAATTAGAAATTAATCAAAGCAGCATACAAATGAATGCAAGATCTCAACCCTGGGAGCACCCCTAAAGGAGAATGAGAACTTGATGCAAGCAGGGAGGCGTTGGAGACTTCCTCCAGGAAAAGATGACTGAGCAGAGAAAGGAAGGTCAAGAGGTAACCCGGCTGGAAAGTGGCCAGGGCAAGAGCAAAAGGACAGTTATGGTGGGAAGGGAGCCTGGGCTTTTGAGGCAAACCAGTCTGCCTGGAACAGGCAGGAGGGAGGAGCCTGCAGGAAGACATCCCCAAGGGCAGACCATGCAGCCCTGGTAAGCATGGGAAAGATGTGGGTCTTTAGCATAAAGATAATAGGAAAGTATTGAAGTGCTTAAGTAGGGAGGTGACATCAGGTTGGCATTTATTTATTTAATATATTCAATCACTATACATTATCACTACAGCTTGTAAAGTGAATTTACCCAACATGAATACACTTCACACCAGTCCAGTTGAAAATACCATACATGTTATCATCAACAGATAACCATCCATTTGTGTCCCATAAATGTCTTGCCTCTCTATTTTTCTCCTTGATTTCCTTCCTCTCACTCTCCGGGTTGGTATTTCTAAAAGATCTCTCTGACTGTAGCATGGAGAAGTTACAAGGTGGTGAAGCAGACATAGAAAAGCCAGCTGAGGCCACCACAGTAGGCCAGGCAGGAGGGAGGGGCTAGCAGCCTAGATTATGGTGCTAGTTGTAGATGTAGCAAAGTGGACACATTTAGAACCATTTAATATATGTATGACTGATGTTAATTTAATCTGTAGGAAATAGCTTTATCTATAGCTGGGTAGGGCTCCATTTGGGAATGTAAGCTAAAATGTGAAAATTTAGGACTAAATTTTCTTTTTTCTTTTTTTGTCTTATATAGGCAACTGATTGAAGGAACGGAAGTTCTTAAACGACTAGAAGTAGTTCCAACACAGAATGAAAGACCAATACACATATGTAGAATTGTTGACAGTGGAGACCTTTATGGCTAATTTTCATATCAATATTTTCTGAGAATTTATTCCTTTGTATCTGATCAGATGTTTTTAGATTTAATTAAATTGTGCTTGATAAAATTTAATTTGAAATCTATGATAGACACTGTAGGTTGGCTCATCTATTACCCAGTCAATCTATCCCCATTTTATTTTCCTGCTTCTACCACGGACTGTAAAAGTAAAATACTCAATCTCTCAGCCTCGTCTGCAGCTGGGTGTGGCCAGGAGAAATAGCTCTGGCCAATGAGACAGAAGTACAGCCCTATAGAGCAGTGGTCCTGCCACTTCATCCAGTCTTCAATACAGAGAGGCTTGAGCCACAACTGTCATCCTGTGACCATGAAGGAAAGGCCGAGAGAATCGCAGCAATGTCAGCCCAGCCTCTTGAGCTGCAGAAACAATATCACCAACCACCTACCTCTGGATTTCTTACTACATGAGACAAATAGACCTCTGTGTTGTTTATGTTATTTGTAGCCCAAAACATTCTTAATTTAGTACAGTGTACTTGAAAGTCTTTGAATCCTGAAACATTTGTAATATTGGATCATCAAAAAAGTCATGATGCATTTTTGCATAGAAAAAATATGCCATGACTTTTCCCAATGACCAATAGAATTATGTTGTTTGCAACTACATCTCTAAATTACCAAATAGGCATGATGCGATAGAAAGAACAATTCCGTGTAACATCGCCTTGTTCATACACAGCATTTAGAAAGGGCATATGCGTTCTGGTTTTCTTATTGTTTTGTTTTGACATGAATATAACCCTCGTCTCTGAGCCATACCAATTGTATGAAAACCAAGGGCTTGGGGAACAGTCCCCATGGAGGCTGACTCATGTGATATCCCTGGAGATCCAGCTTGATCAGCTGTTCCTTAATCTCATTTCTCAAACTCATGTCACCTGGGGAGCTTTTTAAATTCAGGCAACTGGACTCTGGCCTGAGTCAGACTCTACACATGAGACTGGAGTTGTGTGTGTAGTTAGCTCTCTCCTGAGTAGTTCTTTGACACCAGGCACCGATCATCTGGGAATCACTGCAAGATACATATAACTGGTTTCAGCCTCAAGAAAGTCAGGAATATGCTTGATGCTGCTACTGGTGACTTCGCTCGGCTCCTACCACCACCCCTGCTCTGCCCAGAGCTGCTGTGCTTTTCTTCCCCAAGGAGAAAGGGGTTTTTCTCCCAAGGATAATCCCTCTTTAAGCCAGTCATAAAAGGGTCAGGACTTTCCTCAATTTGGGGCTTGCCGAAGGTAGGCATATGCTTTTCTCCTCCTTTTGAGATAGCTGCAGTCATAGGAAGTTGCAATAGTAGTATAGAGCAGTTCTGTGTCCCCAACACCCAGTTTCCCAGTGGTCACACCTAACAGTATGGTATCAAACACGGCGCTTTGCATTGTACAATGTGTGCATGATGCCACTGTATTGTGTAGATTTGTGTAACCAACACCATGATGGAGATATGGAACGCTCTCAGCACTGGAAAGACTTCCCTCATGCTACTCTCTTTTAGCACCCACTCATGCCCACTCCCTTCCTCCTGCCCTCATAACTATACCAGACAGGCTTTTATGCTAAGATCTGAGGTGAATAGGGAGAAAGCATACTGCCTGTGTCACAATTAGGAACGTGTGATCTAGAGCCAGACTGCCTGAATTAAAATAGAGCCTCTGCCATTTTCTAGCTGCATGAACTTGGGCAAGAACTTCCCTGTGCCTCATCTGAAAAAATGAGTCTAGTCTGTATTTTAAAAGCTTCCCAACCTGGCATATGTCTACAATTCCTGCATCTTCGGCAGTTGAGGTAGGAGGATTGAAAATTTGAGATTAGCCTGGGCAACATAGGGAGACACTGTCTCTAGGAAAAAGAAAACAATATAGTGAGAAACTCTATAGGTAAAAGAAAAGAAAATCCCTACCACACAGGGTTGTGAGGGTTCAATTAATCAATAATTTGTACAAGGGACCAGCAGGTGGCGTGGTGGTTAAGGTGCTGGACATTCCCACATGGCTGACCACGGTTCGAGTCCTGGACCTGGTGGCTTGCTTTCTCACTGGGACCAGTAGGTGGCGTGGTGGTTAAGGCGCTGGACACTCCCACATGGCTGACCAGGGTTCAAGTCCTGAAATCTGGTGGCCTGCTTTCTCACTTTCTCTCTCTCACCTTCTGTCTGTCTATGGTCAAATTAAAAAATAAATGAACGAATAAATAAAATAAAATAAAAAATTAATTTAAAAAATAATAATTTGTACAAAGAACCTAGCATGGGACCCGGTATTCTTTAAGTGCTCACTAAGTGTATGCTCAATAAACTTAATATTCAGTTAATTACTGATGTATAAGCTACAGGATGTCTCCTCAGAACTTTTCTTTTTTTATGTTATGGGACATGTGAGCTTGCTAAAAGGAAAGAGAAAACGGGAAAGTGAAAAATCATCCCCCAGGGGGGATGGCCATGCCACAATCCCTTCTCCTCCATTCTTTTGGGATTTGGGGCATGCACATACCTGTGTCCAGTGTTTTTTTTCAAGCCACTGGGTCTAGCACTTGAATTATGAAGTGGGCCATGTAGGATCTAGCTGCCTCAATCTCCATGCCACCTGGTGGCCAAGAACTTTTAATTTTTTTAGAATAATTATCTTATTTAACTTTATTTATTTTAGTTTGACCAGAGAGAGACAGATAGAGAAGGAAAAGTGAGAAAGCAAGCCACCAGGTCCAGGGCTCAAACCACAGTCGGCCATGTGGGAGTCCAGCACCCTAACTGCCACGTCACCTGCTGGCCCCGAACTTTTAATTTTAAAAAGCTCTCCAAAGACTGATAAATAGACAGGTTTGGGGATTGCTGAAGAAGAGACATCTTTTTCTATATTCATAGAGTTCTGGGCAACCTGAGAACTCAGGTTATTCCTATGAAGCCTGCAGACCCCTTTCTGGATGTTTGATCAGATTCCTCAAGTAATGCTGCTTGCATTTCAAACAAAACGCAACTGGGCTTGCCACCAGGACTCTCACCAACTAGTGAAGCAATCTGCAGTGAATGAAAGCTAGTGCTTTTCAGGGATCCTAGTTAGAATAAATCAGAAGCGTTGGGCATGTAATAACAATAATAAGATGCAAAGCAATTCTTCCTGGTGATTAGCCTGTGAACCTGAAATGGCAGTAAGCATTTTATCTGATACTGTGAACTGGCATATTTATATGAGTGTAAGAAACTCATTCCAGCTCTCTTTGTCAGTTTACTGGCAATGTGAAGGTAGAAATATGCCAGGTTTTTCAAGAATGGTAGGTTCGTGGTCTCTCTGTTTGCCCTAACTTTCCATTTCTGGGCTGTGGAAATTCCAGCCACAGATCGCCATACACAGTGGTTCTCTTTACCACTATTTAAAAGTACACACGGTAATACTTTTGTTAGAATGGTTTGTATAACTGATTAGTTGGCAGAAACTGATTATTTCAAAGAACTCAAACACTTATCCCAATTAATTCCAAATACAAGACTTTGATTTACCCAAACTGAAAGACTTTGATTTATTAATAATTAAACAGAAAGGATTCTAGATTTTTCTGAGTCTACAGACAAGACCATAAAGGCATTCTGACTGATTTATGCAAAATGTTAGTGACTAACCTTGCCCTAATTGCTGATATGGCAAAGTTGAGTACAAATACTATATCTTATTCTAGGCCACATGAATAAGAGAATGTGGTATCAAAAACATTTTTGTTTTTGGAGATTTGAGGTAATCATTTAAAATTCTAGGGAATTTGCCCCAAATCCTTACATTGTTATTTGTTAATGAATGGATGATCTGACAATCTCAGGATTCCAGACTCTTGAGTTTTTTGCACTTTATATGTATTTTTAATAATTATTTTAACTTTATCCATTTTTAAAAAAATTGACCAGAGAGGGACAGAGAAAGAGAGAAAGCAAGAAAGCAAGCAAGCTGCCAGGTCCAGGACTCGTACTGTTGTTGGCCATGTGGGAGTCTAGAGCCCTTAACCACCACGCCACCTGCCAGCCCCAACACTTTATACATATTTTAAATCAGACATAGTCACTTTAGAATCCAGCATTGTACTGATCAAATCACTTGACCTTTGTCCTTATTTGTAAAAATAATACAATAAATTTTTGGTTTTCTCCTGGTTCTAAAACTGCAGTGATCCTCTAAGTAAATTTTTTAAATCAATAATATTATTACTGTTTATTTAAAGACCTCAATTACATTAGTAAAATGGGATCCCATCTATCTCATAGGTTTTTTTCAGAAAGATTTTTGCTATAGGGCACATGCACCTGCAGAGAGACAGAGATTAAAAAGCTAAAATTCACCCCTCCCCAGGGGGTGATGGCCACACCACAATCACTTCTCCATTTTCTTCTTGGGATCTTGGGCACACATGCACACATGCCCAGCAAGAGGTTTTCTTTTTTTTTCTTTTCTTTTTTGAGAGGTTTTTGCTATAGGGTGCGTGTGCTCTCCAGACGGACAGAGAGAAAGCGAGAAATCAACCCCCAGGGGGGATGTCACACCGCGGTCCCTTCTCCTCCATTCTCCTCTCAGGATCTTGGGCATGCACGCACATGCGCTCGGCGTGAGTTTTAAGCCACCGGGTCCGGGACGTGAAACGCGGCCCACAAACAACATAGCCATTATGCTAACCGCTGGTTCCCGCTACCTGGCATTTTAAAAAAAAAAATCATATTAAGTACCTGCTTTGAATTGGGCATTATGACAGGAGCAGAGAATGCTACCTGGAGTCATTTTCTTAGAGTTGACAATCTAGTGGGGAAGACAACTACAACCTAACATGATAGTTTGCTATGTGCAAACTCAGGTGTCTGAGTGTAGGATGAGTGAGAACAAAAAGGAGGACAAGACTATTCCCAGAAAGCAGTGCATAGGGGTTTAGCACAAGGTAAACTAACATGTGGGAAGGTTAGGCTGAATGGCCATTCAGAACATTTCTTGGTCTGCACTGCCCTGAGGGCAGCTAGACTACTTTATTTTTAGAGGTTTTTGCCTTAGGGTATGTGAGCTTTCTGAGAGACAGCGGGGAAACTTGTCCACACCTACAATCCCTTCTCCCCCATTCTCCTCCCAGGATCTTGGGCATGAATGCATATGCACCCAGCATGAGTTTCAAGTACACTGGGTCCAGACTTGACCGTATGGTAGGCCAGCGATGTAACCACTACACCATCTGCTGATCCCCCAACTGAAGGAGCACATAGGGGCTGCACCTGGGCTGAGTATTTGTCCCCTAGATCCAAGGATTGTTTATCTTGACAACATCCAGATTGGTAAGGGTTCATTATCCTGAGCAGCCACAGCAG